ACCTATTTTTATCATTTCCCTAATGATTGTCTTGAAGCTGCTAGACAGGAAAGAAAGTTGGAGCGACACAGGTCCTCATTAGCAGGCTCGGAGGGGGAGAGGAGTGGAGGGGTGTCCGGGGAGACCGCCGGGAAAGTTTATGGAATGAGGCCCCGCGCGTGCGCGAGCGGGCAGACAGACCCAGGTGAGGGAGAGAGGGTGTCTTTTGCAAGTTTCAAAGCACTTCCACGGCCGTTTTGTCATCCGGTCTGGTCCCTTGGTTCTCCCATGTGTCTCATACTGATTGCTGTGACCCTCACTCGGTGGGCTGGGCTTTTCTGCTGGTTGGCTTCTTTTTCTCAGAATGACTGTAACTCTAATTGAGTTTATAATTATAAATTGATACGTGCTCATTATAACACTCAGACAATGCGTAAAGGAATGAAGAAGAAAGTTAAAATAACCCGACGGCCCTGAGAAACTTCATTCTTCTTCTAGTAGATCTTTCCCCTTTGCTCCCTTAAATGTTTTCTTTTTTCTTTTTACATCAAAGGGATCTTCTGTGCCTGCTGTTTTCTTTTTGTGGGTAACTAATGTGTATGTGCAGGTGAGGTACAAAAAGCTCAAATGGGCAGAAGTGTGGAGAAAGTACAGGGACCTTTCGTAAGCCTACTTCCGGCCCTACCTTCCATGTGCGCTTCCCTTTACCGGTTAATTACTCGATTGATTGATTAAAGAAGTTATTGAGTGTCCCCTGTGTGCTGGACCCCAGGGGTACAGAGGCAAACAAGACAGGCAGTGCCCCCGTCCTCAGCCTTCCACAGCTCACTGCTTCATTGGTTCTGTTTGTTCGAGCTCTCAGACCTCAAACAGTCTGGACACCAGTGAGAGAAACTGTCCAAAGTGGGTTTCGGGTCAGGCACAGAGTGAAGTGAGGGTCACTGAATTCCTGGGCAGAAGGAGTCAGAGTGCTGGACAGACAGCCATCCACCCCGCCCCAGGAAGGGCCTTGTTCTCTGAGGTCTCAGCAACTTGGGGCTTCCTCTGATCCTCCCAAGCCAAGCCTTTGCGTAGCCTGAGAGGGGCATTACGACAGCAGAGCCACTGCTATCGTCCGTGAGGTTCTGCCAGCGGGAGAAATGGGGACGGTGCCTCTGAGTCAGTCCCAGGGGTGGGGGTGAGCAGGAGCCCCCGAACTGAGCCAGTGAGGGACTAGAACCCCGACATGTGCGGTGGCTCCTCGCTGGAGCTGCTGCTCAGGGGACGCCTCCCGTTCATTCACGCCTGCATTTAACATTGAGTGGGCGCCTACTGTGTACCAGGAGCTCTGTAAGCACTGCCACTGGAGGGATGAGGGAAGACACTGTCCCCGCTTTCAATGGGTAGTTTTTTGGGAAGTGGGGGGAGATAAATAAAGAGAAATAATACAGTCGCACAATGTAAAGAGCTATGGGACGCAGGGAGAAACCTTCACAGACGCGGTGACGTTACAGCTCGATCTCGACATAGGACTAGAGAGGAGGGCAAAGGCCACTGTAGGAGGAAGCACAAGCACTGGGTGCCCCCCTCTCTGTGCATTTTGCAGGCAGAAAAGTGGCTGAGAGGACAGGGGAAAGGACTGTATGGGAAGGGGGTGTGGGTGAAATTGGTATCCTTTCCCGCTGTCCCTACCATCCTTGGCTTCATTCAGCTAGTCCCCAGACACACGCCACTCCCAGAGTCTGACCTTTGCTTCTGCATCAGAATCTCACCTTTTAAGTGCCCCAGACATGAATTCATCCTGTGCCGTGGATGATGTATGAGGTCTAAAGGGACATCTGTCTCAAGGGGACATGCATTTGAACAGTTTTTAAAAGTGCAGGCTGAAGGATCCCTGAGCTGCACGGGTCTGTAGACATCAGACAGAGATGGAGATTAGCAGGGCATGGGGGGGAGGGGCGTGGAAATGAGGCCTTCTCAGAACCTACATATTACCCAACCCACACCTTTAGATTCAAGCCTCTGGCCTTAGCACCCTTCATGGAGGCCTCTTCAGTTCTCAGCCATCTGGCCACCTGGCCAGTCACAGGAGGTCTGGCTCTCTCCTGCCCCGAGCGCCCTGCGGTGGCGATGCCACACCTTCCTGAGCTAGTCCGCGTTCCCTGACAAGCCTCGTGTATCTGCACTCGGACCCGAGGGCTGGGTGAGTGTAAAGATCCTAGCAGGGAGCTGTGCCTGGCTGACTAGGACAGTGCAGGCATGGGAGTGGGAGCCGGGAGTGGGAGCTGCCCAGGGGCTGCAGAATCCACCTGAGCATCGCCAGGCAGAGGCCTTGCAAGTAGACAGCAGCCAGGACCGGTCTCGCCTACAGGTCAGCAGCCAGTAGCTCATTTACTTTAAGTCTCTGGTTGTCACTTTAAGGTTTGCAGGGGAAGAAGTCTGAACCATAAAGCAGTCATTGATTTCAGTCAAACCAACGAGAGCTCGTGACACCTGCAGCTTAAATGAGACTTGTGCACGTCCCCAGTTCCCCCTCCCAGCTCATGGGCTGGGCTCCTTGGTGGTGGTAAGCGGCTTTCTGAACTTGGATGGGGCCTTGCCAGCTGTGACAAGCAGCCAGCTGAGCCCTGCACTTACTTGGTCGACACTTTTGTCAGGAACAAGGACGGGCACTGGTTTCTCTCCCGTCAGAATCACCAACCCCTTCCTCCCCATTCGCGGGGACTGGCAGTGAGATCTGCCCTCAGTGTCAGGGCTTCCTGAATCCTGTGTTCCCGTGAACACCGCTCCCAAGAGAGAGGCTCTGACCAAAGGGTTACATGGTGACCAGTCTGGGAAGTTGGTGGGAAGCTGATGGGAAGTCTTGGTACCATCCCAGCCCCCTTGGGAAGGCGGTGCTCACTGTATACAGCCGTGTTAAAGCCTCTGATTAGTCCTCGGTGCTGCGAAACCTGCTTCCCTTTACTGAGCCCCGACTTCCCTCCTTCGTTTATTTCACGGCGAGTTACTAGAGCGCTGGTGTTCGGTGACCTGCGTTTCAGGAGCACCGCCCTAAATGCCTTCAGCTTCTGTTGGCGTTGGCCAGTGACTTGCAGGTGGGTCCCCACTCCCCTTTCTGCACCTCCCCCCAGTCCTGGTCTCAGCAGGGGGCATGGATCCCCGGGCCACCCCTTCTGCCATGTTCCCATCTTCATCCTCCCATTTGGATCTGGGAGTTCCGGCTGCCTCCACCAGGCCCAGGACAAGCTAGCCTACCAGGAGGGCGTATGGGACACCGGGTCCTGGTGTGGCCCCTCCCTGCTCGGTCTGCACTTGTTCAGAGCTCTGGGTTAGAGGCTGGGATGGAAGGGGGAGAAGTAATGAGCCCCGTGGTCAGTGGGCAGTGGTGACCCTGGATGAGTGGTGGGAGGGGCTTGTCCTGAGAACTGGGCATGTGGACTAGGTGGGCACCTGTGGTGTGTGTCTGCCGGTGTGGTCGGCACTTGGGGGGACTGAGGAGGAGGGGCTGGGTGCACCAAGTGGCTCTCCACACAGGGAGGCTGCACTCCGATGGGAGGGTGTGAGCCACAGAGTGGGGTGAGGGGGTGGGGGGCTGCCTCTGAGGTCCTCCGAGCCCCACCCAGTTTCAGATCTGAGTGTTGGGGTGCGTGGGAGGGGAGGATGGCCGGCTGCTGGGGACTGGGCTGTGACTCAGGGATGCCCGGGGGTGGGGGAGGAGATGAGAATGGTAAGTACTCGAGCCCCAGGACCGCAGCAGCTTGGACCGCCTCCCCTGCAGATGATGCCCTGTGCCTCGCCCCTCCTCTGAGATGCCCCGCGTGCTCATTGCCATTGCCGTTCACCGGCACTGGTGTCACAGCGTGGGCAGAGGGGCGGCATTGCATGAGGTTTGGCCCTCCATCTGCCTTCTGGCTCCCCAGGGCGGGCTCTAGGTGCTCCGTGTCACACAGCCACTCTGGGTGTGTTGGGAGACCAAGGGCATGGTCCCTGCCCTCCCCTCCGTTCTGCCAGATAAGCTGCTGTGCTCTCCCACCTGGATTCCGGAATCTGCCAGAGCACAGGTTGCTCAGCAAGACCAGTGGCAACAGCTGGCTTGTGTTTGTCACAACAATAGTTAAAGAATGAAATCCAGCACACAGAGTGACTCAACTCAGGAGCCAGCAATTCTCTCTGTGCCGTTTGCTCACAGTCCCTGCTCCTGCCTCCCCCGGGCTTGTGGCACAACCTTTCCGCAGGAATCATAATGCTGTTTCCGCAAAAAGGCACAGGGAGCCCCCTCACCTGTCTTCAGAAAAATGCAGCAGGGAAAAGAGCCTGCACGCATTACCCATTCATTTGTCGCCTGGTTCCCAGAGGCCCCGGCTTTTAGCTGTCACGTTGCATCCCTGTTTGCTATGGACGTATTGCAGAAGTTGAGGAAAGCGTAAGATGGGGTGAAGCAAGCTCCTCCTGGCCCCCTTAGATATTTTTCTCATTTGGTTATTGAGTAGGAGGGAGAGCACGTGGACAGATATCAGTCCTTTTCTGAGAGTTCTTCCACTCAGGTGAGCAGAGGTTCTGGGCTGGGGGGCAAGAGGGGGACCCCAGCCATGGTTCCCAGAGACGGCAGTAGCCAGGCACAGCCGTGTTCTTGCTGAGGCATCAGACAGTCCAGCAGTTTGAAGACCCGGAAGCCAAGGGGTCTGCAATGGCGTCGGTGACTCTTCCTCCCTTCTCTCCTTCCCTTTTCAGCCCAGTTAATTCCCGGGTAGTCCATGATTTCTCTAAGCACCTGGAATGTCTACCATATGTCTGGCTACTATACTATTTATTGGCTCCCCTTCTTTTTTCCTTGGGAGAGATGCTTTGTGTTCAGAGCCCAATCCGAAATGGTTGTAACTTCCCAGGCTAAGGACAGCCCACTGTCCCGAGTGCTAGTATCAATCACTGTACAGACTGCACAGCCACAATGGGCGTCGACGAGGTTGTGTGTTGATGTGCACAGTCGTCCAGGGGCTGTGTCCCTCTCTGGGTGAATCTCTTCCTTAACTCCTCCCCTGCACGCCCTTTGAGTACATGATCCTGGCCACCATCATCGCCAACTGCATCGTCCTGGCTCTGGAGCAGCATCTTCCCGAGGACGACAAGACCCCGATGTCCCGCAGGCTGGTAGGTGCCTCCCTTCTCTCGCCTTTCTTCCCCCATCCTCTTCCCTGGTCCCCCTCTCCTTTGCTCCATCACCTGGCCCTTTCCCTCCTCCCTGCCCTATGGTACTGTGAGGACCCCGTTGGGGTGCATTAGGCAAGAGGACTGACCTTTCTCCTTCCTGCTCCTAGGAAGTTCTGAGGGCATCTCCAGTGCTGGGAACAGGAAGAAGGGGCAGGCACAGGGTCCATTTTCTCCTTTCCCAAGGGACATCTGAGAAGTGAGAGGAGGAAGGCAGGCCAAGGGGAGAGGATGAAGGACTCTCAAAGCCTGTGTGCATTCATGGTGGTGAACTCCCCAAATGTTACATCCATAGTCTCTTTAAAAGATAGCTTACCTTTCTAGTGTGTCCCCCTAAAGAGAGCAAACAAATAGTTTAGAATTCAAGTGTGTGGGTGTCTCCCACCTAATTACCTGTGGACGCGAACTGTTAGGCATTCAACTGAAGTGAAGGCTGACCATGGAAAAGCCACTGTGTCAGGGCAAAGCCAGCACTGTGGGTCATCTCCATGGGGAGCGGTCTGGTCCTGGCTGTGACCCCACATGCATCTGTCTCTGCAGTCGATCCCCAACCCCCCTTGCCTTGTGCACCCCATGAGTCCCCTACCCCCTCACTACCCACCTGTGCCCAGGGCAGATGTCCAAGTGTCCCACGGGAGCAAGGTGGCTGAGCATGCCTTTGCCCGCCTCTCATAAAGCACAGCACCCCTGACCAGCACCTCTGCTCCCCGTCCCACAGGAGAAGACGGAGCCGTATTTCATTGGGATCTTTTGCTTTGAAGCTGGGATCAAAATCGTGGCCCTGGGGTTCATCTTCCACAAGGGCTCATACCTCCGCAATGGCTGGAATGTCATGGACTTCATCGTGGTTCTCAGTGGGTGAGTCCTCCTCTGGTGTCTGCTCTGAGTGTTGCGGGGGAGGGGGCCGTGGTGTTCTCAAGTGGCTGACGCAGTGAATCCTGGGATGGAAAGTCCGTAGGTGCAGAGGAAAGAGTTCCAGGATAGAATTCTCCCATGGGGCTGGGTGACCCACCTGCAGGGGAGTGTGGGCCCTCTGTGGAGATGCGTGTGACATTCTGTGGAGGCCCATAACTCAAGGTCTGGCTCCTGCTGCTGCTTGTTTCCCATCCTGCGCTTGGCTCACGCTGAACCCATGTCCCGGCTGGTCTTAGCCAGAGCGGCACCCCTGAAAGATGGGCCAAAGCGTGTGGTGTCGTTCAGAATTTGGAGGAGGCCCCAACCCTATCTTCTGAACGGGTCATTGAGACTCGAGTTCTGACAGCAGAGTTCTTTATGATTTGCATGTTCGTCAACATGAGGAGGCATGGAATTGAGCCCCACTAAAATGTTGGGTAAATCTTTCCTTTGGGAGTTACTATAGCAACGGCGCATTGCAGCTGACCCGGGCTCGTGGGCAGCACGTGTATTTAAATGCCTGACGGATCACTCTTTCTGTTGGGAACGAATAGGCCACGCCCGGCCTGGGGCTGATCCAGCGCTTTTGGCAGCTTATGTGATGGGCCTTGGGGCTGGGGGTGACGGGCATGCCTCATGGGGCTTTGTGACTGCGCGTTGGGCTTTGTGTCAGGTGGTTCTTGGTGCCTGGAGGGGTGAGCCCGGTCCTTGGGGAGGCCCCTGTGCTGTGTGGGTGTGGCAGCAAGAGGTGGGGTGTGGATGTCCTCCTGTCCTCTTACCCAGCCATCTGTCAGGCAGTAGTTCACACTTGTGAGGGGAAGGAGAGAGTAGGGCAGAGAAGCGGAGAGGGGAGGAATACGAGCTACCATTATGAATTGGCCAAAGGGGAGGGAGCGAAGCAGAAGTTTCTTCCAGGGAACAGCCAGAGGATGGGGGTTGGTAACATCTGAGAAGAGTAAAAGCTGGGGAACGTTTGCGTGCATCCGTCATCTGCTGGAATAGACATAACGCTTGCATTTCTAACCTTCACACCAATGGCGATAAAGTGAGCAAGTCGAAGGGGTAATGGGTTGGAAGGTACAAATGGATGCTTACAGGCAGCCAGCCCCTCAATACAGGGGACAGATTAAACAGAGATGATTATTTATGTTGAAAAACACCTGTTTCCTTACAAAAGGATTTTCTGCAGGTTATTTTCCTAAATGAAAAATCTACTGCATTTTAAATGTGAGCATAAAGTGTATAAAGATTCAATTTATACGTAGTGTTTCAGAGGTACATGGTCACAGAAAATGTAGCACACCTGGGCGATGTCTTATTATTAATTTTTTTCAGCTTTATCAGGGTATGACTGACAAACCAAGTTGTGGATAAAGTGTACTCTGTGACGTTTTGATATGTGTGTATGTTGTGAAATGGTTACCACGGTCAAGCTCATTTAACGGGTCCATAGCCTCGCCTAGTTACCTTTCTGGGCATGTGGTGAGAACACTTGGTAGCACCCTCTTAGTGAATTTCAAGTGTAAAATTCACTGTTACTCGCTACGGGGCTTGCGTTATTAGGTCTCCGGAGTGTATTCATCTGTAGATGAAGGTTTGCACCCTTTGATTGGCCTCTCCCTCTTTCTCCTGGTCGCCAGTGTTCTTTCCTGTTACTATACGTTTGCTTTTTTAAAAATTTTGCATATGAGTGAGATCACACAGAATTTGTCTTTCCGTGTCTGGCTTATTGCACTGAGTGTCATGTCCTCTGGGGTCTTTGATGTTGTCACCAATGGCAGGATTAACTTCTCTTTCAGGGCCGACTAATATCTCATTGTGTATGTACTGCATACAACATACGGGTGCACGCACCGCCCCCCCCATTGTCTGTCCATTCATCCGTCGCCGGCACTGAGGTTCTTTCAGTGTCTAGGTTGCTGTGCGTGATGCTGGAACGTACATGGGAGTGCAGATGAAGCTTTTCTAGATGGGGATTTCATTTCCTTCAGACGCGTACCCACGTGGAGCTGCTCACGCGGGAGTTCTGTTTTCCATTTCTTGAGGAACCTCCGTACTGTTCTGCCCAGTGGCGGCACCAATTGGCATCCCTGCCAACAGTGCACCAGGGCTCCCTTTTCTCCACATCCTCACCAACGCTTGCTTTTTGCTAAACAACTGGGTGATCATGTAAATGTCTCTAACACCAGTAACGCTTGCCATAGAGTGGAAGGCGTAAGTGAGAAATGCGCATCACTCGGAAGAGTGGTCTGTCCAGGGAAAAGCGCTGTGGTGCGTGTGTGTCTCGTGTTAGGGTCATGGGGCCCCTCGGTCCCCTGAGTTGTGTGTGTGTTGGACACCCTGTGAAAGTTCCCATCTCATCTGTTTATTTTTACTTTAAACTGTTATATGTTCATTTTTAAAAAATGGACAATACAGAAAAGTCAAAAGAAGAAAAAAAACCCCAGTTCCCTAATTAAGAGAAATTCCTGCTTATTCTGTCATGTTTCCTTCCAGGCCTTCAGTGTTAAGCAAGCTCTTTTCAAGGCTTGAGATTTGCTGCCTGTTCTCCATACAGTAAGAGTGTTTGTTATATATTACTCCAGATTTTGGTTAAAATCTGCTCTGACTGATCAGCAGTTTGTTGAATAGATAAGCACAGCTTACTTCTCCATTTTTGCCATTGTTTGACACTCAGATTGCTTTCTGTTTGGGGCTATTATAAATAATTATTCGAGATGCTCTGACGTACATTGTTAGGATGTCACATTTTAAGAGGTGTTGTGACAGGCTGAAGTGCTTCCACAGGGGACCTGCCATTCTGGCACTGGGCCTGGGGACTGGGCTGTGGGAGGGGAGGCAGAGGCCTGGACCCTTTGACGGGACGAGGGCAGAAATGTGGGCACCCAGCATGGCCTTAAATAAGGGTCCCATGGTTGACGGCACAGGTTTGTGGGGGTCAGCAGGGCCCTCTGTCAGCCTGGTCAGGAAGGCCATCTGTGTCCTCGCCTGTGTGCATGGGGGCACCGGGGGCATGGGGCACCGGGGGCATGGAGCCCCTGGCCAAGTCACGTGTCCCTTCTGTTCTCTCTCCATCCAGCCCTCACGTCTCCTGTTCTTAATGGCCCTTCAGACTCTGCCGAAAGGCCACTGCTCCATCTGAGCCAACAGGACTTTCCCCATTCTTCCTGCACCTCCTGATTTTTTCTGTCTCCTTAATTCACATGTGAACGGGCTCCAGGGAGAAGGCTTAGCATCCCTTGAACGTCCTCCAGCGTCTTGAGATGGGCGTTGTGGGCTGCGGTTCTGTCCCGTAGGACCGGATCATCAGATTCAGTCTTATGTGTACACAGTATTGTCTTCTACCAAATTCATTTCCCAACTGACATTGCTTATGCTGCAACATCTCTACAATCAGCATGTGTCTTACGATAATGGCGTGATATAGTTTAACTGACAACATTTCTCTTTCTCCCTTCATGGTATATTAAATCACGGGACATTGTACAAGTGATGGGGTCTGGAATCTGTTTTGATACCGCCCCAGGGATGTGGCAGAGCAGGCTTCAGAGATGGGTCGCCCTGTGTCCACAGATGTGCTCGGGCCAAGGGTACCCGCCTCTTGACGGCAGGTCCAGCGGTTGGAGCTGTGCCCTCCGACCTGGGCTGGCGCTTTCACCCCTGCCCTGTGCAGCCCCTCCAGGCTTCCTGGCACCAGACCCCACAGCTGTCCCTGCTGGCAGCTCTTCCTTCCCGCCTCAGCTCCCGGTGTCACCTCATAGCTTCCCTCCTGTGCACAAGAGGAGTGACAGGTGCAGGAGCCCTACCAGGACCTGGGACTGCAGGACTTGCAGCTCTCCTGTGACTGGAGGGGCGGGATCGGGGCGGGGCTGAGGAGTCAGGCAGACAGCCGGCTCAGTGAAAGGCCTCTATCACTGACCTTCACTAAGAAACGGAGCCACCGGGCCCACCCCACGTGGCCTTCACCTCGACCTTCTAACCTTTAGTATTCTTAGGTCTGTAAGTTGTAGGAGTTCAGCGCGTGCCAGTTGATTTAACTACGTTAGTCACCCGATCCTCGTGATCCCCCAGAGGGGATCCGGTTCTTTTGTAGATGAAGAAACTGGGGTTCAGACGGGGTGTGTGACCCACTAGGAGGCACACGCTCCAGGACTTGGGCCCCCCTCTTCAGCACTCATTTTCCCACACCACCCGTCTCCCCGCAGCTTACGGGCTTCGTGCTTCTTTAGCTCCTTGGTGGCACATTCCCTTGTTTTCCCTCCGAAGCAGGTGGGATGGGCTTCGGGAGGGGTGCCGCCTGGCAGCTGTCCCTGACCCAAAGCTGAGGCTCCACGTGGGACTTGGGGGGGGCCAGAGCCCCATGTCCCATCCGCAGACTTCTCCCTGTGGGCTTGGGGTGAAACTCTCTGGGCTGTGGTTAATCCAGCAGGCACAAGAGTGATTCTCGCAGCTTAATGCATAAAGACACACCTGAAGTTCCAGCTTATTTCTTCATTCATCGGCTTGTTCATTCATTCATTGACCTAGGTGTCCATTCATTTATTTAACAAAACTCATATTGTTGAATACTCAAGCTCCTGCTGGGACTGAGACACACCTAAGGTCATGTATTCGCCTTTCTTCTTAAAAAAAAAAAACAGTGGAATTTCCCATTTTTCTTTTAAACAACCTGTTAGCTTATATGTCTTGTGATCTTCTCTGGTATTGGTAACAGTTCAGAAGGTGTTATTTCGAAACATTTGTCAGGCCACCTGGAGAATTCAAAATAATTTTAAGTTATTATTACATATTCGCTTTGTAATAGGTCCCAGTGCCTGGAATAGGTGGGCAAATGGTGGAGGAAGGGGAGAGCTCAAGGGCTGTCCTGAGCCACGGGCAAGAACAGGAAAGCGAGCCAGGGCCTGGGTTCTAGCAGGGACTTAATAAATGCTCACTGAACTGACTATTTACTTCACCCCAGATTC